TTATGTATTAGAAAGTCTTCTATTGGTTAAGTTCTAAAACAATTTCAAAAATAGAGATTGGACCCGTTTAGAAAATCTTTATTAAATTACCCGGGTTATCCGTAATTTACTATGATATTTACTGCAGCAGCAATTTTTATCCGGGTTTACTATCGTAACTACGCTTCGCTTAAAGATTTAACTATTATTATTACTGTATTTTCACACCATATTTATCCCCGATATACTTACATTTATAGTTAGTTCCCCTAATATAGATATTATTAGCTTAGTATTTTCTTAATTCATACAAGATCTTTTGTAATGTCATTAGATCATTTTCTAGTTGTAGCCCTAATATACGTAATACTTTACCGAAAATGCAATTTAGCAACTTTAGTTACTTTGTAGTAGCTATAGTTTTAAGTTTGTTATATATTTTCAATACGCCTACTACACTTTTTACTACAATTTTATAAAAAATTAAAGATTTGATTTTTTTAATAAATTGTAATAAAAGTGTGGTCTTGATATATTGTACGGCTGTAAAATTAAGCACCACCAAACTTTGTGTAATATTCCTTTAAATATAATCGTATGTTTTTTTTTTTTTTTTTTTTTTGCTAAGTAAACCTACTTTCTGCTTCTAAGTAAAGTTATTATCCGGGTCAAGATGATTCTAATGATATAAAATTATCAAATTAGTCAAGCAAACCTTCCGCAATCACTCTTCAAAGTTCGAGTGACGTTTGCTTACTAGCTCTAAATTGAAATTACTGATACAATTATCGATTTCTGCTGTTTTTAGGATGCCAAAGCTTGTGGCTATACTAGACCACTAATGTGTATTTGTATCATTTTATCTTGGAATTCAAGTAAGTTCATTTGTCTTTCAACTTTACATACCAACTGGTTGTCAAAGCTATTTGCTAATAAGCTCTCTATCCAGCAGACAATCAACAAAGGTCCATATTCCAGTTTTTTTATTTTGGCAATTTTAAAAGTTCCATTAGAATTATAATCAAATGCATTAGTTTCATCCTTTCAAATTTCTTGCTTAGCTGATTTCTGATAGTGTTTAAATACTTTGCACCTATTAATTTTAACTTCATTCCTGAAATATAACAATGACCAATTTGAAACATTCTATTAAAATTATTCATATTTGCAGATTTTGATATTAAGTGAATGCTTACTTTTAATATGAATTTGTGTTTATTGCATAAATTCCAATTGAGTCTTTTGGAAAAGCTATCTGCTTCTATGATGAAGCAATTTAAGTTTGTAAGAATTATTTGTCACAATAGATATTTGCAGTTCTGATTCCATTTCAATAACAAAATGCAACGGAATCTTCTGACAAAGTGTCCATTTCAGTAGACTTAAGTAAATTAATAAATCCCTATGTTCATTCTTTTTAACTCCAATTTCATGACTATAACAGTTACCAATTGCAAATATTTCACAAGCATTACCTATATCAGCATATTTTGATAGTAAATGAATAACTTATATTCATTTTTAATTTTGATAACAATCACTATTAGCATAACCCATATCAGCAGATTTTTAATTTTAAGTAGATGTTCTTTGAATATTTACACTTCAAATGCATAACTCTTCTGGTACATAGAATCTGAGTATTTTGGTGATATAATTGGCATTTTTTCGATTATTTATCTGCATCTAAGAATTGCTTTTTAATATCATCTGCCTCATCACTATCATAATAATATTCATCGTTATTATTGTCACTTCTATTATATTCAATGAATTTATTCCAATCACGAAATTTATCCCGAACTTCATAAGCATCAGGCCATTTTTGTAGATTTGAATCTTGAATCCATATATTGTTTAGCTAATTTAATATGGGTGCCGCCAAGTTAAAACCTGATATTCTAAATATAGATTTCTATGGACAAGGGAATGTGGGATTTTAATTGATCTAGTAGTAATTTAATTACTAGTAGATCAATTAAATCCCGCATTCCGTTGTCCATAGAAATCTATATTTAGAATTTCAGGTTTTCACTTGGCGGCACCCATATAGCATTAGGAGTTCCAAAAGCAAATTCTGGTCGTGGTCCATTGCAAAACTTTATTGCAAGATTTACGTGTATATCAAATTAATAACCATAAAAAGGTCTTTGTCTAGTTAGCATCTGTGACATGATAACTCCGTTGGCCTGATAAAACTTCTGGGGTGACGTAGGGCATGACTCCATAAATATCGCCTGATACATTTTCATCTTATGAATTTTATATAAATCTTCTAAAATATTCATAAGTAGTTTTAATTTAATATGCCAGGTAAGTTCTCAAAAATTTGTGCTTAGATACTTACCGTGTAAATTGCATTTTCATATGATTGTTAAATTCAATATTTTCAATATTTATAGTTATCAAAAGGAATCCATTCAATCATTTCCTTATACAAAATAGATAAGTTGAAAGTCTTTAAGATAGTCATCAATATCTTATTTCTACTGTCCATCCTTGGATTATCTTGTTGAGATCACATGTTTGACATCATGCATTATTTTGGAGTTTCAATCCGGATAAATCTGTTATCCATTCATCCATACCCAAATTTATCCGGATATCCATTTACTATTGATATCCGAATAATCCAACAGATATCCGGATAATTATCTGGATATTAATAGTAAATGATAAATTTGGATATGGATATCTGATGGATAAATGGATAAATAGATTATGGATTGAAACTCTACATTATTCGCGTTATTTTCATTACAATATTCACAATTTCCATATTTAAAATCACGACAAGAGAAAGATAAGACGAGTAATAAGAAGGAGAGGAGGAGTAAGGATTAGGAAAGAAAGAATCTTTCGCAATCCAATCAACAAATTTATCACTATCATAATCCACGCCAATGCCATATTGGCAACAACGGCTGTTTTAAAAATTCCCTTAGAATCTCCTGCCTTAGCTGATTTTGATAATATATAAATGCTTTATGCATGTCTATTTTTTTTTGTTTTTAAACCCGATGCAGGATCGCACGGGACGCTGGAAAGCGTACATTTTTACTAACTCAATTTATTTAATAGGGCCTTCTAAATTCGTAAGGCTCCCTACATTTAAGAACTACACGAGTTTTTACTATATATATATTTACTATTGTTTTACATTTTTGATGTTAAATGTCCTAAATCGACCGGAATCTCACCGGAAGTATCCTTTTCTGGAGGAATTTGATTTCGACCGGAATTTCACCAGAAGTGTCCTTATTTGTTTGGTGGCGTCCCCTGGGAGGTTGGTGGCTAATCTTCAATCGTGGCCCTGGCACGGTTGTTGTTCACCAGTATAACTTGAACCGGCGACCTTGCGATTGGGATCCGGTTCCATAATTGAGAGTCTTGCTACATCGTTAAATCTAGATTTCAAGGCCCTTTCTCTTAATGAGGAACTTCTAGGTCGGTTACATGTTTATCCGTTCCATACATGTTCATATTTTCATTATCGTCATATTTGATACTGTAATATTTGATATGGTAATAGTTGGTATATCGTTTGTTTTTTTTGAGGTTTGTATATTTAGTTTGTATGTATTTATGTACTATGTTACATCAGGAAGTGTATTTTTTTATAAAATCTATATAGATATACAAGTTTGTATAAAAAAGCACTGCCGATTTCAACATTCATAATTAAACCTTAAATACCCAATTCCTCCGTTTTGGGTTAATCCAGGGTGATCTTCGCGATAATAACCTTACATGACTTTCGTCATGCGGTCAGGTCATGTTAACCCTGGATCTAACCTTTATTTGCTTTATAAAAATGTCAATCAAATTTATGATGATTTATCAAATTTGATGCGAATTGGAGATATAATTACTGGTACATTAGATGAAGATTGATTTGACAAAAAAAAGTTAAAATGTAAAGACCGGAATTTCCGGAATTTATAAAAAAAAAACCGGTGCCGCTCACTTCACCGACAGTCATTTCACCGAAAGTTCATTTGGCCGACATCACATGGGGTTAGGGTTAGGGTTTTATTAGATTCAGGTATATATTTTTAGTAAATTGTCACTTGGCGTGATGTAGGCTAAATGAGCTGTCGATGAAATGATTGTCGGTGAAATGATACGGATCCAAAAAAACTGCGTGATAAATTAATATGTTAATGTTTATCAAAATTATTACCACGAATAAAGCATTCATTTAAAAATATAACTCAATAAAAATCTCAATTTCGGTTAGATTTTCTCTAAGCATGGTTTTGTTGTGTACCAACTCATGTAATAAAAATTTCGTATGTTTAATATAAATTTAAAAGAATTTTGGAAAATGGTAATTTTCTCAAAAATGATTGTAATAAAAAATGTCTCAGGCATTAGATCCAGAAGAGGTTTACAACATTCATTTTTACTTATATAATATATTTGAATATTTATTTAATGGTAGTATAGGCGCACCGGTTATTGAAAAGTTACAAAATGGTGCTAAAGTATTGGAATTAGGGTAAAATTTTCAATATAATTTATGAAAATAATTTTATAATTTAAATAATTTTGTACTTAAAACTTTCATTAATAAAAGTTGCATGTCCGGAATTTGGACTATTGAAGTATTTAATCATATTTCATTTTATATATAAATGTTTATTAGGTAAAGGCTAATTTAAAATTACTTTTATTAGGTTTCCCCCGAATATCCAAATACTGCTTTCTACGGTGCTG